TAGTCATCAGTAATAGCTGATCTTCTTATTCTTTGAGACCTTCTAGGTGCCTCTGGCAATTGTTCTACATTGGGCTGTTGTTGTTCTTCCTCATGTGCAACATTTGGTTCTATAGGTTCCTCAAGGACAGGTTCCTCATGTTCATTCATTGTCGCCACGGGAGAACTTGCAATAGGTGTTGGCACTACAGTGTCCTGCACTGTCGGTGCAACAGCAGCAGGTAGCGTGAAGAATGGTTCTTCAACCATCGGAGTGGGTACATGTACCCACTTTTCCTGTAGGCTGATTTCTCATACTACCATGCTCCTCCTGATCATGTTATCCTCCAAGAACGCAGCATGTCTTGTTTCTATAATCTTCGTATGTCTGTTAGGACAATAGAAGCGATATCCTTTCGATCTTTCTGGATAGCCAATAAAATGGCAGCTGACTGTCTTGGAGTCTAACTTTCTTATGTTCGGGTTGAAAACTTTTGCCTCGGCTGGACAGCCCCACACACGCAAATGGTTGAGTGAGGGTTCCCTTTCCGTCCACAATTCATATGGTGTTTTAGGCACCGACTTGCTTGGTACACGATTAAGTATATGAATGGCAGTTTTCAGCGCCTCCATCCATAAACTAATCGGTAATGTGGAGTAACTTATCATGCTTCTTACCATATCCATTAAGGTACGGTTACGTCTTTCAGCCACTCCATTCTGTTGAGGCTCCCCCGGTGTGGAGTACTGAGCAACTATGCCATTTTCCTGTAGGAACTTTGCAAACGGTCCAGGAATTTGGCCATATGGGGTATGTCACCCATAGTACTCTCCACCTCGGTCTGATCGTACTAACTTGATTTTCTTATTGTATTGATTTTCAACTTCAGCTTTAAATATTTTGAATTTATCCAATGCTTTCGATCTTTCTTTAATTGGATAAATATTGCCATAACGAGAGTAGTCATCTGTGAATGTTATAAACGAATCATAACCATCCACACTTTTCACAGGAAAAGGACCACATATGTCTGTGTGGATTATTTCTAAAATTCCTGTGCTTCGTTTGACATCTTTCTTAATTTTCTTGACATACTTTCCTTTGATACAATCAACACATTTTTCTAAATCTGAAAATTCTAAGTGCGGGAGAATTGATTCCTTAACCAATCGTTCTATTCTCCCCCTCGAAATATGGTCCAAGCGACAATGCCATAATTTTGAAGAGACATAATCAATTCTCTTCCGCTTCTTAGTTACATTCGCAGATGGGGAATCATTCACATTCTCATCGCATACATTGTTCGCATTCTCAGCAAGAGATAATAAATAAAGCTTGTCTTGTCGGAAGGCAAGACCAACACATTTATTATCAACCAGTATCTTACACTTGCCATCACCAAAGTGGCAATCAATTCCATCATCATCAAGTTTCGAAACGCTTATCAAATTTCTACGCAAAGAGGGAACATAAAGTACTTCTTTAAGTCTAAGTACAAAACCATTATTCAATTCTAAAGAAAAAACTCCAATGGCTTCAACATTGGCTTGCACTCCATTTGTAACTTTAATCGTTCTTTCTCCTCTTTGCAAGGTTCTCGTCCCACTTAACCCCTGTAAGGAAGTTGCAACATGAGTAGTTGCTCCTGAATCAACACACCAAGTGAATTTATCATAACATAAATACAGGGATTCATCTACAAATGTAATAAATTCATCACCTTTCTTTAGCAGAGATTTCAGAAAGTCTGGACAATCTCTCTTGTAGTATCCCTTCTTGAAGCAGTGCTTGCACTGATCTTTTTCAGCTCCACCATATTGCTGATTCTCAGAATCCTAGGGTTTCTTTCCCTATGAATTGGAGGAAGAGGCCTTATCCGCCCTTGTAGTTTAGAATTCTTGCCATTAAAATTCTTTCTTTTGTTATCCTTCACAAAATGAGCGGATTCACTGTGAGGACTTTATCCTCTCCTCTTCTTGAGCACACATTGAGATGAGTCTTTTTATGCCCCATCTTTCAGGCTGCATATTGTAATTCACAATGAAGGTGTCATATTCTTTTGTGAAAGAAACAAAAATCAAATGAATCAGGAAATCCTCCTCCTTCAAATTCATTTCCTTTAGCTTAGATGCCGTAGTGTTCATCTTCAAAATGTGCTCTCTTATGCTACCACCAGTGAATTTCTCATTCACAAGCTTCTTAATCAGTGAACTTGCTGTGGCCTTGGTAGACCCAGTAAACTGACTCTTGATTTTCTCAAGATATTCTGTGGCAGTAGCACATTCAGGGATTGAGCCCCTTATCTGTTCCTCTATGGTGGCCTTGGCCACCAACAGGCACTTGCGGTGGGAGAGAGTCCATTGCCTATGTTCAAGGTTATATTTCATTCTTATTTTAGTATGATCACGCTTTTGAGCAGCGAAATCAGCGTCAGATTCATTTTCACCTCTTACTGGGTCCTCTGGCTTAGTAGGACATGGTGAGGTGATGGCAAAATCGACCTCTCCCAACGCAAGTTCCAATTCATACTTCTCCCGCCACACACGGTGATTGGTCCCATTGAGTGTCGGGATGTTGACAATGTTCACAATGCATTTGCCACCTGAAACCACACCAGAGTAAGTAAGAAATATTTATACATAAAATTTCATGCTTTAACTCAACGTTGGTCAAATTAAAACTTATAATTCATCCATGCAAATATTTTACATCACCGTTGGGCAGAAGTAAAATTAATGCACAATTTCTCATGGATCAAAATTATAATATTGTTATTAACAACGTTGGTCAGAAAATAACAACATCATAATCTCATCAAAATTATCAGAAATTCATCACTTCTCTTAAAATTAAATTATCCCGTTGGTTCAAATTTAATCAAAGGAGATCGAAAATTATCATGCACAGCGGAAACATTAATAATCTTTTATATTATTATTTTCCAGAAGGACTGAGTACTTTACTGTTTTCTGGCAAAATATCGTTGGATAATATTTGCACAGGAAAAATTGTATCAAAATCATTCAAATTCATCAAAAAAATATGCATTAAAATTGCTCTTGGAAAATAATAACAAAAAAAATTCTTTTCACTTCAGCCCAGCGTGGCCTAGCTCGCCCATGCGCGCGGCCCGGCCAGCAGCGCGCGCTGCAGCGGCCCAAGATGGCCCAACGTGGCCCAGCAGCACGCGCGCTAGGGTTTCTGCCCAGCGCAGCCGCATCTGAGCCGTTCATCATATCCGACGGCTGTCCGGTGATTTCGCCAGATCAAAACCGGCAGCTGACCTCCGCCCCCCGAAAAACCCTAAAGTTCATTTCCTTTCTTCTTCCCCCCGCCTCTCCCAGCCGATTCCAGAGTGAGGGAGCAGCAGCGGTGGAGCCATGGCGTCCACGGTGGCCGGAGGAAATCGGGGCCGCCGTGGGCCCCTTCGCCGGCGGGCGTGCTCGCCCGTGGCTGAGCACGTCGTCGTCGAGTGGCCTCGCGGTGGTGCCCTGCACCCGCGCGCCACGAGGGTGGCCTCGGCTTCATCCCGCACGCCAGTGCAGGTACGGGGAAGTACCGCACGGCGGCGGTCTCTTCCTCTCTTTGATTTCTCTAGGGTTAGGGTTTCTTTGACCGATTTGAAATTGGTTCGATTTGATTTCTTTCTTTCGCCCGATTCGAAATCGAGTGTCTTTGTTCTTCTTTCTATTTTCTTTTTCCCGATCCGCATCAGATCGGTCAGTTTCATTTCATTTCTTACCCCGATCTGGTTTCTTCTCTAACCGTGGCTCCGATACCATTGTTGAAATTTCGTAGGACTCAATCAAGTTAAGTTCATCAGATCGGGTACACAGTAATAGGAATACATGTACACAGTGAAGTAGGGGTACATGTTCTTGAATCCCAGTAATCAAAGATCCTAATACACGATCTACAAAGAGGCAGAGAGAAGGGGAGTGAGAGGTTGCAGACCATCGAAGGCCGTAGTGGTCGAAGCAGTCGGAGTGGTGGAAGCGTCGGTCAGGATCTCGTTCGCTGATGCCATCTGCGTGCCGGCAGCGACGTTCGGTGGAGAGAGGAGTCGGTGCAGTGACGTCCTTGGCGGCGGCGTATGCGTCGGGGTGGCGTTGCCGGCGTCAGTGGTGCTTCCCGTCGCTGGCAGCGCCCCTTCTCAAGATCGGGTTAGGGTTAGGATGTCGGTGGGGTGTCTAGCGGCGCGGTGAACCTCGTACCATGAGCCCCGGCTCCCACCTTTCCTTTATAGCGCTGTGCGACGGGGGCCCACCAACCATGTAGGGTTAGGGCCTCCGATCAGGGCGCGAGAACAAGGCCCAAAGGCCGTTGGGCCTAATGGCGTGGGAGATCAATCCAACAAGAGCATCTTGAGGATCAGCATTCAGCATACGCATGAACACTTCATTCTGCTTAAGGTTAAAGAAACATTTTGCATTAGATTAAATAAACATGGGAATGGTACTTGCATTAACTAATATAAAAACTAAGGGAAAAAATTGAAAACCTACAACTCCACGTACGGTTTGTTGTCAAGGTTGATGAAAACCAAATAGCCATTTATCTTAAAACCCATCTTTCCCTTTCATTCAGATTGTACTCCCTCCATCCCAAATTCCACGACGTTTTAGTTTTTCTATATACTTAACATTTGCTATGCATTTAGATATGCACTATATCTAAATACGTAGCAATGTATCTAAAAATGCCCAAAATGTAGTTAACTGCGCATTGGCGAGTACTAATAATTGATGCAAATGACTAGCTGCTAATCTGAGAAAAGTATGGCAGCGCAGAAGATTGCATGCATACTGATTTCCAGATTGCTGAGAAAACATACGCACCCAGTTTAAAGTCTTGGCATGGTCGGTGGCTTGAGATAATTTCCAGATTACTGGGTCACCACTGTTGTTATGCACTGTGACGTCTCTGTCTTTATGAAGCAATAGAGCAGCGACCATACTGGGATTGCACTTTTGGACTGCGAGATGGAAGCAGTACTCCCGTCCAGATTTCGCGCGCGCGTGTTAATGAGTTTGTGAAGCTGCGGCGAGTCCAGGACAAAAGTCCTGATGCTGTTGAACTACAGCTTCGTGCAGACATGTCCAGCCATTCGGTTTGCAGTAGGGAGCATCTGGACAGTGTTTAAGAAGCTCCCGAGCAACACCAACATGGCCACGAAATGCAGCACAGACAAGAAGAGGGTTACCTGCTGTGCAGAGGAGGTACCCTAAAGACCGATCGTGTTCCAACAATACGCTTACCACGTCAATCTTGCCCCAAAGTACAGCCAGCATCGTTGGAGTGCAAACACTCTTGTCTTCTTCTCTGGCCAACCCAGGACGTGCCTCCACAATCTTTTCAACAACGGCTGCAAATCAAGGCAGTAAGGACGTACGGTTAGTTACATGAGTTTTATTGGTAAAAAAAGAAAAAAGAAAAACGTTGCTCTCTTGTGTGTAGTTTTTAGTTTGCCAGATATATACTAGATCTATCGGCAGGTCACACCTGAATTTCCGTTTTTCACTGCAGCATGCAGAGCATTGCACCCGTAGGCTCCCCCATGAGCAGAATCTGGAATCTGCAAGAGTTTGTCGACGACGTCCTCACAGTTTCGCATCACTGCGATGAACATGGGTGACTCGCCGTACTGGTTCACAGCATGCGACAGGGCGGGCTCTGCTTCTATCAGCTCCAGTGCCAGCTCCCTGTGCCCGCAGCGTATGGCGTGGTGCAGCGCGTTGTGTCCTTGCTTGTCTTGCTTCAGGATCGTCTCGCTCAGCTGATGATCACGGCAGCACCTGAGCAAAGCAGAAGCTACAGAGACACGGCCGCTGGCCACGGCGGCGAGCAGAGGGGTCTCGCCATCCGAGTTGACGGCGGCGAGGAGTGACGGCTTCAGAGCCTCGGCCTCCTTGCAGAACACCTCGTGGCCATGGATGGCAGCGATGTGGAGGCATGTGTTCCCCTGAGGACCCTGAGGAGTGGTTCCAACGAGCACGGCCGGAACATTCAGATACAGGTGCCTCATTTCTGCTACATGAGTACATGACCACATACTGCTGCTTCCAGGAGTCGGTCCGGCATCACCTGAGGACGAACAGCTCGATCAGCTGATATGATACAAACAGAGACAGATATATACGGATAAACCATACGTACCGATGTGAAAGGCTCTGCGTTGATACTTGAATTAAGGTGGAACCGTAAAAGAGCGACCATGTTAGTGTCATTGATTCTGGCTGCGAGTTGCAGAGCAGTTTCTCCATTGTTATCGGGCAAGTTAACAAGATGCTCAAGTTGGGGAGACCTCACTACAAACCTCACAAAATCTGCCTGACCAAATGATACAGCTACGTGAAGACATGTCGAACCCGTTGCGTCGCAGTAGGGAGGATCAGGACAGTGTCTAAGAAGCTCTCGAGCAACACCAACATTGCCCTGAGATGCTGCGATACAAAGAAGAGGAGCAGCATCTGTGGTTGTGGAGATGAAATAATCCAAAGACTGATCCTGTTCCAACAGGACTGTAAGCACGTCAATCTTGTTCTCAATTGCGGCCAGGTGCATTGGTGTACGCTTATCTTCATTTTCTTGTCTGACTAAAGCCCCTTTGGCACGGCTCATCCAAAACGGCTTCACCGGTGAAGGCAGAAAAACTAACTTTTTTCGGCTTCTAGTTCATTTTAACCTCGGCTTACAAAACGACTTCACGCTACAGTGTCTCGATTTGCGCAAAATAGATGAAGCCGAAGCCGGCATAAGCCGTGCCAAAGAGGCCCTAACCCTGGACGTGCCACCATAATCCTTTTGGCCATGGCTGAAAAAGAAATCAAGGCAAGAAACAGGTGACCAAGCTGAGGTAGTGTTGGAGATGGACCCTGTTACCTTGCAAGAGGTAAGACCTAAAAGAAATCATAGCCCTTGATTTTTGAAAATAAATAAAACAACTGAAATTTAAGAAATGAATAAAATAATCGGTGCAACGTGTCTTAGTATAAAGAACCATAAATTTGTAACGGTACCCTACAAATTCAACCGTTTGCGGTGTGAACTAACCAATTCATGTTTCTTTAGAGTCCCACGGCAAAATTTGTCTTTCCTTATATATCCTATTACCTTCTATCCTCTGCGGATGGCATGGTGCAGCGCGTTGCACCCGCGCTTGTCTTGCTTCAGGATCGTCTCGCCGCTCAGCTGCCGATCACGGCAGCACCTGAGGAGGACGGAAGCTAAAGTGTCACGGCCCCTCGTCACGGCGGTGAGCAGCGGCGTCTCCCCGTCCTTGTTGATGGCGGCGAGCAGAGAAACAGCTGATTGGTTCAACGCTAGGCCTAGGAGGTCCTTGCAGAACCCCTCGTGGCCATGGATGGAGGCGATGTGGAGGCAGGTGTTCCCCTGTGGCGTCGTTCCAAGCAGGACGCCCGGGTCATCAATGGCGAGCTGCTTGATGATTTCTGTGGCATCACCAGATACGGCCGCTTCGAGGAGCCGCCTATCCATCCCAGCCTTCTGATGCTCCAATGAAAGAGTGACTGAAAGAGCGTGCGTGGTAAGATGCAGCTATGAATCACCCACGTACAGTACAGAGGCCGACCACAGATTGTACAAAAAAGAACAAGAGCAAGAAATAGGAAAAGCATGGACTCCGAAGAAAGAGTGTACATAACCCACGTATATGTTAGTACAGAAAAAAAAGGAAAAGCTAGCTATGATGCCGTAGTCAGGGTCAGCTGACGACCGAGCAACTTTGGTGAGAGTTGATCATCGTCAGTTTACCCATCAGGGTTTGAGGACATGCTATGGAAGCTTTTCTAGTTGGAGGAGGGTTGGGACTGCCCATAGAGTCTTAAAATTGTAACCACGTACACACTCTATAATAAGTCAAGTTTTCAAGTGTCTTCCAATGATTTTTTTTGGCAATGCCATTGGCACGACAATTCGATGCACTCAAGACAATAGCAATGCATACACTATTAATTACTGATGATATATATTTGTACGGTAAATACGTTAAAACCGTTACTCAATTTGGCAAAAGAAAAGTTGCTCCATATATATAACTGTGAATGTTTCCTCATTAATTTTCGTAATGCATATACATACTCGATCATAATCAATGGAGTATTAGCCATGAAGTATCAATATTGGTATAATAAGAAGCAAGTAAATTAAAGAGGATACCTGGCTGCAGAATATGGCCGGCCGCTATAGTACGTATATGGACGGCAAGAGATGATCCAGTAACCTTACGCACTCAGTTCTCTTTTCCTCAATATAATACAGCTGGTGCAGAGCCAAGGGCCAATGGGTTAGTACGGGCTAGTTTCCTCATCAGCTACACAAGAGGCTAGGCAAGGGAACTTGTTACTTGCTTGTCCAGTTGTCCCCTCTCAGCAGCCTTATTATAACCGACAAATAAAGCAATATAAAGAAAAGGAAAAGAAAAAGAGAAAAAGAAAAAAGAAAGAAAGATCTGAAGCAAAGAATCGATTGTGCTAACAATAGTTCTCACTTACAGATACATGTTTGTTTTATATATATATTTTTTTTTGCCAAAAAGACAGTCCTAGAGCATTTTGTACAAAACTAGCTAGTGCAAGAAATAGATACAAAAAAATTAAAAAAAAACATTCAATAGAAATTTGACAAGGTCTTCACCTCCATCGCATCCATTCATGTGTGGTGTGGTGATTTCAGAGAAGGCCGATGCATGTCTATTTGAATAATTGACATTGGACTGATTTATTGATCGTGGATTATTATTTGAATAATTGACACGAGTGACCGTAGCGACGTACTCCATCCGTCGCAAAATAAATAAATTTGTGAGGTTTTATTTTTTTTCTCAAAAACATAAGATGTCTTCGGGAAAACAGAATGAGATGAGATACTCTTTTTCTAAAAAAAAAAGCGAAAGTGAGTTCTAGAAGGCGGGGACTGTAGACGAAGGAAAAGACAACTGGGTGACCAACCGAGAGCTTTTTCCAACTTGCTTGTGCTTGGACATGAGGCCTAGTAGCTAGATTTGTATGCCTGGAGCAGGTTTTAACGCTGCAAAGGACGCAATTCAGCCAACATCTGAAGCGGCTCAACACGGTCAGTCTCGACTCAGTCTAGAGAGAGGGGCATGATATGTGCCGAGTGTTCGGCGCCTAGACAGTTGCCGACGATTCGAACGCATTTTATCGATCGTGGGCTGAAAGAATTTAGGTACCGTTCGCTTCGCTGAAAAAACAAGCCAAAACACTGTTCCGACTGATTTGTTGTGAGAGAAAAACACTATTTCAACTAAAAAAACAAGCTGAAAAGCACGGATTATAAGAGAAGCGAACAGGGCCTTAATGTTGGACCGTGTATTTGACTGTTTCTTATTTGTGAAACGTGTTTTTCTTTTCAGGCTGATTTTCAATTATTTACGAAGTGGTTAATCATTGTCGATCGCAAAACGCAGTTAATAGTCCTCCTAAAATTAAAGTAATTAGGTGAATACCCCACGCGTTGCTGTCGGAATTTAAGAAATGATATCTTGTGAATGCCAAATAAATTAATCATGCAAATATTAAGCTTGGGTAGGAGTGGTAGAAGATGTTATTGTTTGTACAATAGCAGTAATACTATATAGTTGGGAATTTTATTCAATCAGTTGGCCTACTGACATTGTCAAAATTAACTTGTGATGAATATGAAATTGCGTACATGCTTACATTATAATTGTCATATGTCCATCATGTTTCGAGAAAAGTGTTCATGGTGGGAAGGATCAAACGAAACCTCAATAGCAGCTCTGAATTGCCTTTATGAGATCTTTTGGTTACATAATATAATAAGACTATGCTCTAAGATTTAGACCGCAAGTTAAGATCCTGCATCATAGAAATATTTGGAGAAATGATGTCAACTGAAATTGTTGATTATGAATGTTTGAAATTGTTGATTATGAATGTTTGGATATTGTCGGATTCATCTCAATCCACTTGTGTTGAGGTGGATTGGAATGAAATTTAGTTAGTTCCACTTAAATCTACCCCAACACACGTGAATTCATACGAATCCGACTATATCGCCTAATACGGCTAAGACATTTCCCAGTTAAGTTTTTTTTCCTTAGCCATTGGCACTGCAGATGGCCCAGTCTCCGTGTATGTCCACGCCGGAGAGCCCGCAACCGCCGCCTCGACGACCTCCTCCTCTCCTTAGGGTCGGCCAGGTGCACACAGATGGGCCAAAAAGGAAGAAGTGCTCAAATGAGCCCAGTGAACTACTACCACTTCTATTACGTATCCCCGATTTCCGATTTCGCTACAAGGGAAACGTAAATCTTAATTCTAAACCTAGCGAGGAAACGCCTCCTCAAAACCCCAACAAGTCCCCAACCCTCTGTCACCGTCATCCTCCATTGCAGCAGCAGCAGCCATGGCCATGGCGTCCGCGCTCCGGCTGTCCCTCCTCGCGCCGCGCGCCGTCGCCGTCGCCGTCTCAGCCTCCGCGGGGCAAGCCTCGCGTCATCTCCTCTCCCGCCGCCTCGCGATGCGCCTTCCTCACCCCCCGCGACCCGCCGCCCTCTCCGCCCCATCCGCCGTGCGGCCGCGCGAGGCTGGGCGCGTCCAGCCGCTCCGCGCCGCCTCCTTCTGCAGCGGTCCCGCTCCGGCCGCAGGACCCACCGGAGGAGGCGCCAAGGACTGGCGCGTCTTCCTGGCATGGTAATTCGATTCCGCGCTCGGTGCTTCTGCTCTGCCGTGGCCCGTGGGTGCTGCTCCCTGACACGCAATTCAGAATCCAAGTGTTCAAATATTCAAATTGCGCTTGTGCATCGTGACAGGTACCTGGTGGCTCTGGATAAGAACCCGATTGCGACTAAGGCGGTCACGTCTGCTGTCCTAACTCTGGCCGGGGACCTCATCTGCCAGGTAATACTTGCAGCGTTTGGCTTCAGTCTTTATGCAATGTAGCAAGCATTTGGCTTCAGTCTTTGTGCAATGCATCATGGATTTCGTAGTCAGTAATGACTTTCAGGCAGTCTAGTACTACTATGTCACTGTTTGGTTTGTAGACCATGAAACTATTGCCAAAGCGTATGGTTCATGCGATTGAAGGACTGGAATCCAATCGCTTTGTTCAACCTAATTAGCTCAGATTTATTTTCCAGCGCAAATCAGTTGTGTCAATCCTAAATAAATCTGAGTTGGCACTGAAATTGATTTGTTCCCAGGCATGACATGCCCTGAAGTATGTGAAGTTATTTTTTTTGTAACAATAGTACTACATAGTTATAGTTGGCCTTTGATGAATTCTCAGACAAGCAAAGTATTATAGACTCCTAGTCTACTATGTAATAACAATGATGTTGTTACCAATTAGTGAATTTTATGTATGCTGCCATGCCAAAAATGGAAGATAAACACACAAACATGCACGCAAAGGAAAAATAACCTAAGAAGTTCAATCCATTGGCTGCATAGGGGATTGCAATAGTGATTTGAAAACGTGCTTAATATTATCTTTTTTCCGTGTGTTGATAACTGGCCTTGCTGGCTCATTGAAGTGTTTTGGTCCTATATTTATGGCTATTGCTGCTGCTTGCTACTTAAACACCTGCATGTGTAGTCCTAATTTTAATTTTCTTTCTGTTCCAGCTTGTTATTGATCGAGTTCCAGAGCTTGATTTGAGGAGAACATTTGTATTCACATTTTTGGGCCTTGCCCTTGTGGCGCCAACTTTACATGTCTGGTAATCTCTTCTGAGCTTCAAAAGTAATTATCAGTACCATGTAGTGTAGCTAGCTTTTTTCTGCCACTGCTGTTTGTTTGATAATTAGTGTCCATATGCAGGTACTTGTATTTGAGTAAATTAGTGACAATCAGTGGAGCATCAGGTGCCATTGCTCGCCTTATACTTGATCAGGTTTGCATTTTCTTTCTCTCCCTTGCAACTCCAAGGACTTGAATTTTGCTTCCATGTCCTGCACTTTCTTTGTGTCTACAATTGTCATCTTTTTTTGTTTTGACTATTTTTTTTATCTTCTCCTCAGTTTATTTTTGCTCCCATTTTCATCGGTGTTTTTATGAGCTTACTGGTCACCTTGGAGGGAAAACCCTCTCTTGTAGTGCCAAAGCTTAAGCAGGTGAGATGAACCCTTCTGTACTCTTTCACTCCCTGCTATGACATGCATTTGCTCTTTTCTTGGCTTTTAATTTTCGTTTCTGACATCTACAGGAGTGGTTACCATCAGTGTTGGCAAATTGGCAATTATGGATACCATTTCAGTTTTTCAATTTTTACTTCGTCCCTCAGAAGTTTCAGGTCTTTGAAGACGCTCCTTTTCAAAAGTTGTTATACTAGCATGCTGCGTGTGTTGCCCTTGCCAACTTACTACCATTTGTTTTCCAGGTCCTTGCTGCTAATTTTGTATCCCTTGCATGGAATGTGATTTTGTCATTTAAAGCTCACAAGGAAGTTATCGCGAAATAGGTACTATTAGCTGGCCTGCCTTATAAGCCCAACTCTAGCCTCTCTGATTGTTTTATTCAAGTGATAATCACATTGTTTACTGATTGTTTATAACAAAGAGAGTAGTAAAGAAGAAAATAGGTCTATGAATGTGGTTATTGATCATTTCCTGTTCCAGCTGATGGTTGTCGTGTGAGAAATTTCGTAGAAGTAGAACAGTGTATCTGCAATAGTGCAGGCACATATCTCCCTTTCTTGATTACTTTATGGTAGGCTGTGCATTTAGTTTCATGTTCCATTAATGGAGTACATAATAACGAAATCTTCTGTACCTCTATTTCCACTACTGATGTCATGTACAGATGTTACAAATTTATGATTTATGATGTTTGACTGATGAGGCATATATGTTGCAATTGACTTTGTCAAACCCACGCGGCCACGCATGACATGTATTCTCATAGGTCAATGAAACTAAATACGTCAGGTGTTTTCTCTCACAGACATATTGAAACTGATGTGCATTATATGATGCTACACATCATGGAAGTAGTTATGATAGTGGACCAGCAGTCAAAATGTTTTGTAGGTTGAGGGTTTGCTGTTGATGTGTTTGAACTGCAACAGTTTATATCAAGTTTTAGTTCAACTTTTTTTTCAACTGGCTACTGCTTGTCCCATGTTGAACTGTTTATAGGGAGATAAGATTCTCATACTAACCTGCTTGTCCAATGGCTACTGCTCCTAGCCTTACCTTATCTTTTCTGCCACCCCTTAAAGCAACCTTGTGGACCTGTTCCAGAATTTTTACAGACCTTAATAACTCACTATACCTTTGCAATTCAACATGATGTCGATTGACACTAGTGATGTTCTTTGTTCTTTTGCATCACGTGACTGACCTTAGAATCTAACCAGAAGCATCTGGCCAAAATGTTGTTTCCTTGGCTTTGCATAATTTGGACTACCATTATTATAAATTGTGTTGCACATTGCGAATTTGACGTCGATACTAGGGTGATGCTTAAATGTCTCACCACTCATAGTTCACTTGTAGTAAGTAGTAAACTATGGTGATGTGTAAATGTCTCACCATTCATCGGTCACTTGTAGTAACCCAATCTCATTTGCTACTTAAACCTGAGTTACATTATTGTCCTTATAACTGCCTTTTCGGCTTTTAGTAATCGTAGTTGTGGCAGGTCGGAGCTTCACTTTGTTGGAGCCTGGCTTCAGGCAAGGAAAACTATTTTGCTTTTGCCTTGGCTGCCCATGCTGTATTTCGAAGTAGAAGATCATAGTCACTGCAATGAATGCTGATTATCACCATAATATATACTAGTTGATTTGGTTCGCCCATTGATCTTTGGCGGCAGTAGGTTTGTGTATGCCTCTGAGGTACCCTACCTCCTTTTTCTTTTCCTGGGAAGCCCACAAGTCGGCTTGGCCTGTATCTGTATGCTTATTTTTCTGCCATCCCGGGGAGCCACACAGCCCACACTTCGGGCTAATTTGGAAACTCAAATCCCCTTGGGATCCCCGACTTTTTCCAGGGTGGAAAATCCATGGGGAAGCCTCCCCCTTGCTTCCAAATTAGCCCTTCGAATGACTTGTGACTCCTGGTTGTAACCCAAAGTCATACCTGTCAGCTTCCACCTTTTGCAGTTTAACATGATCCTGATTCATGCCAAAGGTACTTTTGGTTTTTTTTAACAAGGTCTCTAAAGTCTGGTGAAAATATACATGGTTCTTCTGGGTTATATTTTTGGCATGGCTGCAAGCACTGCCACACTGTGGATCTGAACTTGTTTTTTGTTGGAATTGTCTAGGTTTCTGCAAATTTCAAGCTGGTGATGAGGAGAGTTATTCATTGAACAGTTGACTCCTGGCCAGGATATCCATCCATCTAGTGCATTGGATAGTTGTAGGGTCTGTACATTAGCATCATGTTGGAGCGTGTCATTCTGATCAGAACGAAACTGAATGGATCATGGTTATGATCGACATGGTTGTGTAATCTGGTGGAGGATCATGAATGGCCCTCCTGGCATATTAGGACAGGGGTGCCGTTGTGGTTTGCTGCCGCAATGAACACGACATGTGTGATGTTTGTTAGTGTTTGTGTTAAGATGGGGTTATCAATGAGGGTTACGCATGGGTGGTGCGCTTCCTTAAGACTGTTGTTTAATTATTCTTATTATTACATCAGCAGTGAAGCATAAATTTGCACTCGTGGTACTCGCCAGCGGTTTGGAGTTTGGAATAAGGGCTGTGTGTTGTTTTGGAGGATCAGCAGCAGCATCAACGCATGGAACGATTTTGTTTTTGTTTAGCACGCCGGCCGTGCTTTGGATTTGCCCATCAGTTAGTTGGAAGATGGAACATACGTGTCTCCGTCCGTTGTCGGACGCGAATTGGCGTACCTACGTAGCCACTGATGCTGGTGGCATTATAAGTATCTAGGCCACCGAAAGAGAGTGGAGGAATTAACTATTAAGACAGTTGAGGCAATGCGCACCTATCAGTGTTGGAAGAACAACGCGCCGTCGGCGGCGCTCGTGTGGTCGCAGCTCATCTTCCGGCTGGTGACTGTCGCCGCGGCGGCCGCCGACCAGGTGATCGGGCTGGCCGGCTGCACGACCATCTGCGGGCCCTACCCGTTCGGCTTCGAGCCCGGGTGCTCCCTCAAGGGCTTCAACCTCACCTGCGACGCGAGCTGCACGCCGCCGCAACTGTTCGTCCATGACGCGGCCAGGGTCACGGAGATCTCCCTCGACGACTCCGCGGTGCTCTTCCTCGTCGCATGGCGGGGAGAAGGACGGGCGCCGTCGTCAAAGCAGTTGATCAACGACGACGACCACTCGACCAGGCGGAGCAGCAGAGCATGGCCCCGGGCAGCAGCTTCTCCGCGGATCAGCCGCGGCGGTATCACTGGATGATGGCTATCAAGGCAACGCTTACCTCAGTGACGGATGCCAAGGTAGACTCACGTCGTCTTAAAGTGTGTGTGTGTGTGTCTATATATATATATATATATATATATATATATATATATATATTGTTGTTGTTGTTTTTTTATTTAATATTTGCAAAAAGATGTCCGTACGATGATGCTCTACGAGTGATGATGACACACTCGATCTGCCTGCCTTGTTGGCTGATTATTTTTACACCAGATGTCGATGGGTGCAGTTGCCCGGAAAAATGCTTTGGCAATTGTACAAAATTTCCCGACAGCAAGTATTTATGTCAGTGCCCCAAGGGAACAATCGGCGACCCATACACCCGGAATGGCTGCGTCAAACCGCGTGATCCAAAAACAGGTAACAGTTCCAAAAAGATCTTTAATAGCTGGAGAGTTTAATGTCACTGTTTCCAAGACTCCTATGTGATGGAAAAAAGTATAGACAAGTTCTCTGTGCATTTCATGAAACTTTTATCGTATCTTTATTCATTAATATTATGCCACATAAAACCCTCGTGAAACTTATTTAATGTTCATGAAACTCTCGTGAAACTCCAAATAGTCTAATAAATACTCCATCCGTCCTGGTATATATGACGTAACCATCTCCGGTTCAAAGACTAAGGAACATATTTAATTCTCTCTCAAAACACTAGTACTACTGCATCGATGCACGCTTCTTTAGAGAGAGCATGCCTTGTATTATGGGACATGAATAAAAAGTGGTTACACCTTATATATTGGGACAGAGGGAGTACCAGCAAACCCACAGCCAGCACCATGCATGTTGTAACCTGTTTGCATGTATACAAAGAGATACAAAAAGAAATTATCTGTTCATTAACTGGTCATGTTACTAGATCTATATTACTACTTATGTTTGTTTGGCTCCAATGGTAGACAAACAAAAGCTCTCTAATAAATCTTCCAATGGTAGACAAAATAGTTTGCTAGTACTAAGAAATATGTTTAGCTCTACATTTTGCAACACACGATTGTATGTATTCCTCATTTACGCATCTAAACTTGTGAATTTTGTCAATCTTAGGATTAATCATTGGCCTAGGAGTTGGAAGTGGTGCAATTCTTCTCTTTTTAGTGCTAAGCACCACATTTCTGATCCATAGAATCATGACACGGAAGAAAAGAATGAGACAAAGATTCTTCAAGCAAAATCGTGGTCAATTGCTACAGCAAGTAGTATGTCAATGGGCAGACATAAGCGAGAGAATGATCCTTACTTTAGAAGAACTAGAGAAAGCCACAAACAACTTTGACAAAGCTCGTGAGCTAGGTGGTGGAGGGCATGGTACAGTTTACAAGGGAATTTTAGCGACGCTTCATGTTGTGGCAGTTAAGAAACCAAAGATTGTGATACAAAGAGAAATTGATGAATTCATAAATGAGCTTATTATCCTTTATCAGATAAACCGTAGAAATATTGTGAAGCTTCACGGGTGTTGCCTTGAGACAGAAGTTCCTCTACTTGTTTATGAGTTCATTTCTAATGGCACCCTTTACAATCATCTTCATGTCGAAGCTTTAGTATCACTATCATGGAAAGACAGAGTGAGGATTGCGGTCGAAATTGCTAGGGCTCTCGCGTATCTTCACTCACTCCAATGCCAATAATCCACAGGGATGTCAAGTCTCCTAACATACTTCTCGATGACAATTTGACTGTGAAAGTGTCAGATTTTGGTGCTTCAAGGTACATTTCCATTGATCAAACCGGGTTGGATACAACTGTGCAAAGAACATTTGGGTATTTAGACCCTACATACCGTAGCACAGGGCATCTTACTGAGAGGAGTGATGTCTATAGTTTTGGCGTTATTCTTATTGAGTTGTTAACCAGAAAGAAGCCAATCTCTTATAGGTGCTCCAAGGGCTATGGTCTTGTGAGACATTTTTCCACTTTGCTATCATAACATAACTTGGTTGACATATTGGATCCACAAGTTGTACGAGAGGGAGCGGGGGATATCTCTTTGTTAGCAGCGACGTGTGTAAAGTTTGTAAGCAAGGACCGGCCAACCATGAGACAAGTGGAAAT